TGCGGGGTCAAGGGTGAGCCTTGCTGGTGGGAGGGGGCTGAGGAGGAGGGGGGAGGTTGTCTGGGTAGCCAGACAGGCCAGGGTCAGCGGCGGGGGCAGGGGATGTCTGGTGGAGGAGAGGCCCTGCATCCAGGCTCCCTTGGGGACCTGGGATTCCAGGCCCCAAGCCCCTCTCCCCTCAGATCTGGGAGTCCAGCCCATCCCCCCGAATTACAGAATCTGAACCCCTAGCCCCCTTCTCCCCAGGACCCGGGAGTTGGGCCCCTAGCCTCTTCTCTCAGACCTGGGAGTCCACCTCCAGCCCCCACCCCTTCACAACCCCAGAATTCACTACCCCACCCCTCTCCGCAGGAGCGCGGGTCTCCAACCCCCTCCTCCTCTAGGACCCAAGAGTTCAGGCGCCCGGCTTCTTTCTCTCTTCGCAGCCTGGAGGGAGGGGGCTCCTCCCCCGGAACCCAGGAGTCCCCCACCTCCTCTTTAGCCCCAGCTGGAGTCCAGACCTCCAGGGGTTAAGGGGGCGGGGCCAGCTGGTTGCCATGGTGCCAGACTGTTTGGGTCTGCTCTCTGACCCTTGGGGGCTCCCCAGGGTCCGCAGAGAGGGGGAGGAGGACCCAGGCCTGGGGAAAGCCCAGCGCCTACCCCTACCCCAAAGCGGGCCTATGAGCCTAGGGAGTTCATGTCCCCATCAATGCCTTGTCCAGTGACCTTGAACAAGCCCTGACCCTTCTCTCTAGGCCTCAGTTTCCCCAAGGAGAAATCGGTTGGGGGTGGGGGAGATGCTCTGGTCCGGAGAATCTTTAAGATTCTCAGCTTCTCCTCTCCCCTCACCCCCCTCCTCAGGCCCCAGGCAGCCCCGGGGCATGCTGGGAACCCAGGCCTGGGCTCTGGGCCAGGTTGGTGGGGGGGCGGGGGCAGCCTCCTCCCTTCCCCTTCCTCCCCACCTTGGCCTGACTCTCGCCCCCGCCGAAGGGTCTGGGAGGTTGGGAAGGAGGGAAGGGGGAAGAGAGCTGGGACCGTAGACCCGTCTCCGGCCCCCACCTCCCCCTTCCCCTCCGCCCCCTTCCCGCCTCTCCTCCCCCTCCTCAGCAGGTCGCTACCCCAGCCCTGGGCCCCTTCTCAAACCAACCCCACCCTACCCCCAACTCCAGACCTGGCTCTGAGCTGCGAGGGGGAGGGAGAAAGGGAAGGAGAAAGACCGAGAGAAAGGGAGAGGAGAAGAGGAAGGGAAGGAGAAGGAAGGAGAGAAGAGAGACGGGGAGGGGGAGGGGAGGGAGGGAGGGAAGAAGAAAGGGCGAGAGAGGGAGAGAGACAGGGACGGAAGGAGGGAAGGAGACCGAGAGATGCAGAGAAGGAGAGGGAATGAGGAGAGACAGAAGAAAAGGGGGAGGAAGACGGTGACAGAGGAGAGGGGAGAAAGAGACTGAAGGGGCCAGAGAGAACGAGAGAGACAAAGACGGAGGGAGGGAGGAGGAGAGGGGAGGACGGAAGAGAAGGTAGAGAAGAAGAATGAGAAAGGGAGAGAGGGACGAAAACAAGGAGGGCAAGAGGTGAGAGAGGCGGATGGGGGGACAGACAGAGCAAAGGGAGTGAGCAGTGAACACAGGTGCAGAAGGAGCCTGGGGACCAGGTGAGACGGAAGCTAGAAAGAGGGTAAGGAAAAAACGCGAGCAGAGGGAGCAGGATAGGGAGGACGCAGCAAGGTGCAGATGGAGCGCGGGACGGAGACATGACACTGTGCAGGGGAGACACTCCCGCGTGGACAGGCTCTGAGCCCAGGGCTGGGGAGGGTGGCTGCTGAGTCTCACAGCGCCCCCCACTTCCAAGCTGACTTCGGCCAAGTCTCTTTCCCCTCTGTGAGGCTCAGCCTCCTCACCTGCTCACCTGCAAAATGGGGATGCTGACAGCACCTCCCCTCCCGGCCAGGCTGACTGGAGTGGGAGGCGTCGGGGAGAGACCTCTGCTGGGCTCTGGGGTCATACCTGTCATCGCTATAAATGATGCCAAAACAAGGGGCGGGGGGGCGGGAATACCCAGGAAGGCTTGGAGTTTTCATATCCCCTGGCCCCTCAGCCCTGGGCCTGGAATCTCTGCAGGCTGACAGGTAGGTAGGGAGGGAGGGAGCAGTTGTGCCCAATGGGCCAAATTCCAAGACAGGTGAGGTTCCATCCGACTGGCACCCAGGAAGCTAGCTGTGTCGGGCTGTGCCTTCCCCAGGAAGGCCCACCTGGCTGGACTCATGGATCTGAGGGAGGAGGGGGCTCAAGGCCTGGACTCCTGAGTTTGAGGAAGGATGGAGCTAAGGGCTTGGATTCCTGAGATCTTTGGGAAGGAAAGGGCCAGGGGCCTGGACTCATGAGTTCCTTGGGGAGGAGGGGGCCGGGGGCCCGGACTTCTGGGTCCTGGCACCCACCCGTAGAACCGACCTTGCGGGGCCTTCGCCGCACACAAGCTCGTGTCTGTGGGTCCGTGTCGGGGGCTCACCATCACGGCTGAGGCCTCCCCGGCCCTCCCCACCCTCCCTGGCTCTCCTGGCCCCCATCTATCCATCTGTCTGGTCTGTCCACCTGCCGCGCCCCCCGGGCTGAGGTAGGAGGTTGTATAGTTGAGGAGGACACCCAAGGAGATCACTATACGGCCTCCTAGCTTTCCCCAGGCTGCGCCCTGCACGGGACGGGGCCTGGCGGGGACCCCCAGCCCCACACACTGCCCCAGGGACCCTGAGAGGAATAGCTGAGCTGTTTTTCTATCCTTGTCCTGCATCCCCTCCTCCCACTTCCCTAAAAGAGTTTCTCTCTCATCAAGAAATCTCTATTTTGCTTTCTGTTTGTCTCTCCATCTCTGTTGTGTCTGTCTGTTGCACTCACTGCCTCTCCTGTTCTTGAAGCTTCTGAGTCCCTTTCTCTGCACAAAGATCTCTTAGACTCTCTCCATCTCTCTCTTATTGTGGCTTTCTGGGTTTCTGATCCTACCAGTATCTCTCTGTATCTCTGTTTCTGTCTTCTTTGGTCTTCTTTCCTGGCTTCTGGTATTCAGTGTGTCTCTGTGCCTGTTTCCATCTCTGACCCCCAACCCCAACTCACCCCTGGGCCTGTTGGGGCAACCACATACCACGTTGCCAGCCTCTGGGTCCCTGAGACCCTTTAACCTGTGAGGATATCCAGGGTCACAGGTGAGGTTCTTGGGAGCCTGGCGTCTGGCTCAACCACAAACCTGGGGATTGCTGTCCTGACTCGTAACCCCTGACCCCTCACATCCTTCCTCTGGAGCCTGACATTTGACCATCAACTGAAAGCTGACTTCTGACCCCAGACTATGGGCCCCTCCCCCACCCTGCAGTGACCTCACAAAGGTCACTAGCTTCTCTCTGGATGTTGAGACCTTCTATGATGGCCTTGCTGTCTCCTGCCAGTGCTGTCCCATATGCCCTGCTGGCCTTCATAGTTTTCAGGTTGCCCTCCTGGGCCTGTCTCCTCTGTTTCACCACCTACCCTGAGCGCCTCCGCGTATGCCAGATGTTTGCTGGGATGGAGGGTCCTGAGCTCGAGAAGTGCAAGGAGGCCTTCACAGTTGCCTTTGAGAACCTCTCATACAGTGAAATCAGTGAGGAGACCATCCAATGTCCACCAGGGCCCTGGAAAGGGCCCGGAGGGAGGGACCAGAGAGATCTGGAGAGACTCAGAGAGTGGGGCAGACAAACAGAGAGAAACTCAGAGGCAATGGAGAGAGGTTCAGACTGAGAGGAATGACAGGGACCAAGGGGAACAGAAACACAGAAAAGTAGACAGAGATAGAGGCAGAGAATCAGAAGAGAAAAAATAGAGCCTGGGATGGGAGCAGAACTCAGGAGAGGGAGGATAGAGACTGGAGGCAGAGACTCAAGAGAGGATAGAGACTGAGTCGGCAGAGATTCAGAGAGAAGTCGGTGAGGGGGAAGGGGGTGGCAGAGACCCAAGAGGGAGGATAGAGATTAGGGGTCAGAGACTCAAGAGAGACAGGATAGAGATGGGGGTGCAGAGACTCAAGGGAGGGAGGATGGAGACTTGGGGGGCAGAGACTGGAGGAAGGATAGAGTCTGGGGAGACAGATACTCAAGAGAGGGAGGATAGAGTCTGGGGGACAGATACACAATAAAGAAGAGGATAGAGACTGGGGAGGCAGACACTCAACAGAGAAGAGGACAGAGACTCAAGAGAGAGAGGATAGAGACTGGGAGGGGCAGGGACTCAAGAGAGGGAGGACAGAGGCTGCGGGGCAGAGACCCAGAGACAGAATGTCCACATTAGGGATGTGGTTTGGGAGGGATCTTCCTCCACCGAGTCCCTACCTACCTCTCCTACCCTCAGACTACGATGAGAGAAGCCACCTGCATGATGCCTTCACTCAGATGACCCACTCCCTCCAGGAGATGGCGGCTGCCCAGTGTGAGTGAGTGGGGATTAGGGATGGTGGACTATGTGGCCTTTGATCCCCCTAGAAATGGGTATTCAGAGGTGGATTAGAGGGCCTCTGGAGCTCCGCAGTGATGTGGGGAAGCTGAGTGAGCTGGGTTACTGTCAGGGAGAAGGGTGGAACAGCTCTCAGGGGGTTGGGCAGATGCTGGTGAGGAGGAGAAGGAACGGTGCGGAAATAAGCCCAGCTGGAATCAGGTAGACATGGGATCTGACCTGGCTGTGTGGCACGGTCGTCCTGGATATGAAGTTTTGGACATATTATTTATTGCTCCTCTTAGGGCCTCAACTTACCTACCTGTAAAGTGAAACAGTCTCCTTGCCTCCCAGGATGGCCGTGGACCTCAGTGTGTGTGTGGCGGGAGGGGTGCGCTTCCTGGTGAGACGTCTTTCTCTAGGATAAAAATGCACACACACACACACATATGCACATACTCTGTGATTCCACATTTTTGATGTGTGAGGCTATTAGGGGGCAGGAAATCAGTTAGGTACAGCAAAGTGGATAGTTCAGGTGACAGACATGAAGATTCGACAGGGGTGTGGCTGTCCTGGGGAGACAGGCACATGTGACAGCCCTGACTGGGGCCGGTGAGACAGGCATGTGCAGCACAGAAGGTACGTACATGTGGACATGCCAGGGGCCTCAGGGCTGGGGGGACGTGCATAGCCAAGAGGCAGTGTTATCAGTAATCACAGCGCGTCACCATGACCACACAGCACATGATCCCCACAATATGCCAGAGACTGGAATTGTCAGAGGATCAGAGGTGTGAGGAGGAGGCCACAGAGGCCTGTTTATTTGGATAAACTGATAAGCTTTTGTTTCCAGCTCTTGCCCACAAAGCTTTTGGTCAAAGATCCCAAAGAGGGAGATGTTCCCATCAAGGGAGTGTCCAGGGGGCAGCATTAAGAAGACTGGCTGTGAATTCCTCCACCCCCAACGGGAGACCTGAGGAAGTGCTGGAAAGAGGGGGTGCTGGATTCCAAGAAATACCCTTTTCTCCCTGTCGCTCCCCACATAGACTGTGTTATAACAGAAGGTTTTGAAAAGACCAGGAACAAGTCCAGATCTAGGTGTGAATGACCTCGTTTGGGTGGGGTGTGGGATGGACTTGGAGGGCAGAGAGTGGAGGCCAGGGTGAGGGTCTAGGCAAGAGATGAGGAGGCCTGCGCTGGGGCTGGGGCTGGAGCTAAAGCTGTGAAGGTGGAGAAGAGGGGATGGGGTGGGGACAGAGACTCAGGGGCCAGAGCAATGGGGCCTGGGAGTAATGGGCTGTTTGGGGAGAGAGGCAGGAGGGAGGGCTGGAGGTCCTGAGTTCTGGCTCCATGCTGGGGTGGGCCATCCCTGAGATGAGGAGCCTGGGAGAAAGAGCAGGAGTGGAGATAGATGATGAGCTGGGACATAGGGACTGTACAGGGCCCAGGGGATGTTCAGGAGGCAGCTAGGTACCAGAGGGCAGGGTTCAGCTGAAAAGTCAGGGATGCGTGAGACTCTGTCTTGAAGGTGCTGGGGGGCCATAGGAGGGCTGTGAGCGGGGCCAGGGCAAGGTCAGCCCTGGGTATAGAAAGAGCCCTCTGGGGCTGATTGGAGGTTGGACTAGAGGAAGAGAATGGAGGCCGGGAAAAGTCAGTGCAGTATGTTCAGCAGCTATTCATTCAATGTGCCAGGAACAACACTGGGGACACAGCTGGGACCAAAAATGCAAACTGCCCGCCCTTGGATTGCTTATATTGGAGATGGGGTGGGAGGAGACAGATAATAAAAATAATCAACAAAATACTATAGTATATCAGTTGCTGATTTGTGCTATGGAGGAGAACAGAAAGGGAAGGAAAGGGATGATAATTTTAAATAGGTTGGTCAAGGAAGGTGGAAATGAGAAGGTCTAATTGAGCAAAACCTGAACAAGGTGACAGTGAGAGCCTTGCTGATAGTCTGGGGAAAGAGAGTTTCAGCCCAAGGGAGAAGCCAGTGCAAAGGCTTGGGGCCAGTGGGGTTGGAGTGGAGATGACATCAGAGAGGTAGCACGGGGCCACATCTTATAGGTCTTACGGTTCCTTGTAGACCAGTGGTTCTCAAGGCCCAGTGTACATCGGAGTCTCCTGGGAGCTTGTTATAATGCAGATTGCTGGGCCCTACCCTTTGCTTCTGACTAGTACGTTTGTGATAGGGCCTGAAAACTTACATTTCTATCAAGTTCCTAGGTGATGCTGGTTGATGCTGTTTCGAGAACATACTGAGATTGTTTGCTGTGGGCCTGACTTATCTTTTGCTGTTGAGATGGGGGAGCTATTGGAGGATTTTACACAGAGAGACAGGATCTGACTCAGGATTTAACAAGGTCTGTCTGGCAGCCATGTACGACCAGGGCAGAGCAGGGAGACCAGTGAGAAGATGGTCGGTTGTGGCTCAGATCAGCCTCAGTGGTCCAGGTGGGCCAAGGTGAGGTCTGAGCTGAAGAACGTGGGTATGAGAATGGAGGAGAAGGAAGAACAAGGATATGACTATGTGCATGTACGACCAGGGCAGAGCAGGGAGACCAGTGAGAAGATGGTCGGTTGTGGCTCAGATCAGTCTCAGTGGTCCAGGTGGGCCAAGGTGAGGTCTGAGCTGAAGAACGTGGGTATGAGAATGGAGGAGAAGGAAGAACAAGGATATGACTATGTGTCAAACCTGCGTCACGCATGTGAGAGGCTACATCTGCCAGACAGATTTATTTGTATTAATTATCTTCTAAAGGATATCCTAGCACCAACCTTGCGAGGCAGGGTTTCATAGCCCCACTTTCCAGATGGGGAAGTTGGGGCTCAGCTGGAGGGGGAAGACATACCTAGGAGATATTTGGAGATAGTCTGTACTAGATATGTGTGCGTGAGGGGAATGGGAAGAAGCAAGGACATCTCCTGGGTCTCTCCCAGATGGAGGACTGGAGAGATGGACAAGCTGACTTAGAGCTGCCTCTTGGTGGTGGCAGGAGATTCTGTGTTATAAACTGTGGAGTGGCTGGCCTGGTAAAGAGAGGAGGGCAGCGTACCACATGCAGTGATTAGGTGTGGAGCTCTGGAGCCCAACTGCCTGGGTTCAAATGTAGCTATGTAACCTTGGACCATTTCCTTAACCTCTCTATGCCTCAGTTTCTCCATCTCAAACTTAGAGATGGTAATAATAGTAGCTCACCCTTCTATAACAGTCACAATGTGCCACGCACCACTTTAAGCTCTTACAGACATTATCTCATATGGTCATTAAATGGTGTCATTAAATAGTTTGGGATGAAGATGCTTTTATTTTGTACGGCATTTAATTCTCTTCCCCAACCCTGTGAGGAATACACTACTATCATCCCCTTTTATGAATGAGCAAACTGAAAATCAGGAAAGTTAAGCCACTTGGCCAAGGTCACACAGGGAGGAGGGTTTGTGATTGACACCTTAGATGTGAGACAGGTGTGCTCACAAATAGAAGAGCCAGGACTCAAACCCAGATGATCTGAAGCAGAGTTAGTGTTCCTAACATATGCAGCCCTTCTGGGGAGGTTTGTACGACATCCATTTGTGCCCACTGATGGTTCATTTGATATAACCTATGCCCTTTGGCCTGTTTGGAACATTTTGCTCCATCCCTAACTCCCAGAGTTTACTAAACGTATAAACCCACCCCTCCCCACCCCGCTGCCATGGCTCACTTGGTGTATCCTGCACTCACCTTCCCCATGAGTCATTTGGTTTGGCCCACAGATATTCCATGGATGACTCCTTCAACATCCTGGCCTCATACTAGCATCCCACTCTAACCACATCCTCCTGACCATCCTGCCATCTCCAGACCACACTCCTGCTCTGTGGCCAAGGAGAGACCTCTAAGTCCTTTACACCTCATTTTGAACTCATTTCTTGGCTTCAGTGCTCCCTCTTCCCAAGCATATACCCAATGATCATCACTTCGGCTGCTCTCTTGCCAATATCCCCAATTCCCTCCCTTTTTATATGGCTTTAAATCACAGAGGAACCCTTCTCCCCTCTCCATAATGGCTTAAGCAAACTAGAAGTTTATTTCTTCCATATAAAGTCAGTCTTGAGTTAGGCACTTAATGCTAGCATGGCAATCCATTTTCTTGGGGACTCAAGCTCCTTCCAGCTTTTTGCTCTACCATCTAAGGGTATAGCCCTTGTCCTCATGGTCCTATACGGCTGCTAGAACTCCAGCCATCAAAACCCAGTTAGTTTCCAGCAGTTGGATGGAGGAGGGGGAAGGGATCAAAATGATGGCACCACCTTTTAAGACTACTTTTTGAGACTCATATATGACGCTTCCACTTACATCTCAATAGTCACAACTTGGCCACATGACCACAACTAACTGCAAGGAAGGCCAGGAAATGAAGTCTTTTTTTTTGGAGGGTGGGGAGGAGGGTGGCTTTCCCAAATGAAACTCAGTGTTCTGTTGCTAAAGAGAAAATATAGATATTTGGAGGCAACTGACAATCCCAGTATATTAGTTTGCTAAGGCTGCTGTAAAAAAGTACCACAGACTGGGTGGCTTAAACAATAGAACTTTATTTTCTCAGAATTCTGGATGCTAGAAGTTTTAGCTCAGCAGGATTGTTTTTTTCTGAGGCCTCTCTCATTGGCTTGTAGATGGCCATCTTCTCCCTGTGTCTTCACATGGTCTTTCTGTGTGTGTCTGTGTCCTGATATCTTCTTCTCATAAGGACACCAGGCATACTGGGTTAGGGCCCACCTTAATGACCTCATTTAACTTAATCACCTCTTTAAGAACTCTATCTTCAAGTGCAGTCACATTCAGAGGTACTTAGAGTTAGGACTTCAATGTATGAATTTGGGGGGACACAATTCATCCCACAACACCCTGCCACATTTCTGATTTCCAGAACCACCTCCACCACAAGATCAATCCAGCTGTCTACTTTCTTTTTCAATGGAAAAAAGTCACAAAACCTTACAGTTCAGAAGCCATTACAATGGTCAAAACCTAACCACCTACAAAAACAGAGAACAAAAGAAGGAGCAAAAGAGTGGTAAAACGAATAGAGACTCGGGACTGTGGAGAAGTGGTGCGTCTGTGCCCAGTTTAAAGGGAGTGGCTGCTACTAAGCTTCAGCTAATTACTGCCTTAAGGAAATGTGGTCTCTGTGTCACAGCTCTTTCACATTTTTAAAACGAGATGCCAAATATTTTATGAGACTTTCTCTAATTTTATATGTTGGCAACTTTTTTGTTTGTTTGTTTTTTAAAACACTTTCATCCAGGCCAAATATAACACATCCAAAGGGTGGATTTGGGTCACAGGGAACTAGTTGTGGACTCCAGTTCCAGTTGGGTCCTGGAATTTATTCTACACGTATTTATTGAGCACTTTCTTATACTAAGGGCCCTCTTCTGGATTCTGAGGACAGAGCACTGAAGAAGGACATGTTTATTTACTTAAGAGATAGACTTAAATGACCATATATTTAAATACATGCAATTGCAAACTGGTGAGAACCATGAATAAAATGAACGGGGTACCATGAGAAAGAAAAACAGGGAACTCAATTAGATATGTGGTGATGTCCCCTCTCTGGAAAAGTGTGAGAAAGTGACACTTGAAGTATAAGACATGAAGGATAAGTAGGAGTAGGGGGAAAGATGTGCTAGAAACAGAAGCCAGCATGTGCAAAGGCCCGGAGGTGCTAGGGAATGTGGTTCTTTTCATGTTAAGGAAAAGAAAGGTGGGTAGTAGGTATGGGACAGAGAGAGAGAGAGCGAGAACTAGGCCAAACCATGTAGGGCCCAGTATGCCTCAGTAAGGAATCTGATCTTTATCCTCCCCTTTCCCCCCAACGAGATAAATGCAGGTGATGGTAAAAAAAAAAAAAAAAAAAAAAAGATTTCCATCTGAGAGAGACTCAGGAGGGAGAAGGAAAGCGTCTTGGGGACTTATAAGCCTTCGCAGTAGACAGGGTGGAAGGAGGTGAGGAGAACAGAGAATGTGGTAACAGGGGAGACATAAAGGAGGAAAGGGGCTGGGGAAGGGGCACAGACACTGTGACAGTCCTGTTTAGCTATGCCAACCATGGGGAAAGGTCTTTATTACCAAAGTCCCCCTCCATCCTCCAGGGTCCTTTCTGGTTGCCTTTCCTGATGCCGTGGAGAAAATGAAGAATGTGATTATTCAGCTTAAAGAAGGTAAAACGGCCTCCATCTCTCTCTCCTGCCCTTCTCCTCCAGGCACACACACAGTTAGAAAACCCCATTCCTGAGACCCCCATCCTCTCCCCTTGGTCCCATCTGCTGGCTCGATCTTTGAGCCCTTGGTGGGCGGCTCCTGACAAAGTCTTCTTCCCTTCGTGGGCCACACTGGGTCTAGCCCCGCTTCTTCCGCGGAGGGTTTCCTCTTTAGCTAGCTCCTATCTTGGGATATTCCTGACCCAGACTAGCCCCGGACCTCTTCCTGGATCTCTGGTCCCGCGCGTTTTCCTCTCCAGGTGGGCCCAGTTAGTGGACTTCCAGCCTGACCACGCCTCTTCTCTAACTTGGGCCTCCTGACTAGGCCCCGCCTCCTCCAAGGATGCCTAGTATCTAGCCCCTCCCCTCGGTGAAACACACCAAGGCTGGCTCCTCTCCTCAGGGATACGGCCGTCCTGTGTGTCTTCCCCGCCCCCCCACCTCTCCGACCCCCAACTTCGATGGCTAGCAGCAGGCCTGTGCCTGACCTTTTAGTGGAATGCTGCAGACCTAGCCCCGCCTCCCAGGTGGAAGGGAGCAGCAGGCCTACCTAGCTCGCCCCCCCCCGGGGGAATTCGTCCAGCTCCTAACATCCTCTAGAGGAACGTCAAGTAGGGTCTCTCCAGCGACTTCCAGAGTATTAATGCTTCCTCTCTCTCCGCAGTCCAGGCCTGCATCCCTCCCTGCGGTAAGGACTTAATCCAATATTCAGGAAAGGGAAGCGGTCGGGGTAGAAACCTAGGACCTCAGGCAGGAGAGCATGGGTGGGCCTCACCCAAAGGAGGCCAGGAGCCCTGGAGAAAAGTAAGGAAACTAAGGACCGCTCAAAACCTCCTATGGAAGGTGGGTCCGAGAGCCTGAGCAAACCAATGGAAATCCTAAAGAGCAGGGAGTAGTGGGGGTTAACCGGAGAACGCAGGGAAACAGGGATCAGGATTCCACCCGATCGATAGAACCCAGGGAGGCTTAACAGACCTTTAAATTGGTCAAAGGGACAGGGGCTGGGGAAAGGAGATTGAACCCAGTTCCCGCTTCCGCCTCACAGGACTCCAGGAAGCCTCCCGGCGTTTCCGCTGCCGCGGGTGCTACTCCACCGTCTGCGACCTCCCGCTGGACTGCCCAAGTGAGAGGGCGGGACCCGGAGGTGCAAGGAACCGGACGAACCGGAGAAACCGGACCTGAGCGAGGGAGGGGTGGGGCCAGGCTTGGGCGGGGCCAAGGAGGGTGACCTGGACCGGTCTTCAGTTCAGGACGTGACGGTGACCCGGGGTGGTCAGGCTATGTTTTCTTGCGCTGTGAACTTCCCGCTTCCAAAGGAGGAGATCACCTATTCCTGGAAGTTCGCAGAAGGAGGTGTGAGTTGGGGCAGAGCCAGCATGAAGGGTTTAGTCAGGCGGGTTATGCTTCACTGAACGATGGGGAGTCAGAATGCAGAGGGTGGGACTTACGGGAGCTCCACATAGATACAGGCTTAGTGCAAGGAGAGTTTCCCGGGATTTAGGGAAGAGGTCGAGGCTCAGATTGCAAGACCAGGTGTCCGGGGGTAGGTTATGCGTAAGGGTTTAGGGGGCGCGCCTAGCACCCTAGAGCAAGTAGGAGGGAGCGGAGTCAAAGCTTAGGCGGCGGAGCTGTGCGTGAAGGGTCCGCGAATAAAGGCTAAGGGGTGGGGCCAGGACCAAAGAGGGGGTGGTCTAGCTCGGGGACGCGGCTCGCGCGTTACTGTTGGCGAGTCCGAGCTGAGAATTTAGGTCCTGGGCTTAGGGCGGGGTCCCGCTCCTCCAGCCGCTTCAGCCTGAGCGTCCCGCAGCTCCGGACTCAGGACGTGACCTACTTCCGAGATGTGCCACGAGCCGAAGGATACCTGGCGCGGATCCGGCCGGCGCAGCCCACGCACCAGGGGACCTTCTCCTGCGTGATTAAGCACGACCAGCGCCCCCTTGCGCGGCTCTATTTCTTTCTTAATGGTGCGGGCGGGGCGGGGCGGGGCTGCGCTGGGGGCGGGGCTGCGCTGGGGGCGGGGCTGGCG